GGACTGGACACCCTGCTGTAGACACAGCGCCCCCTCCAGGACAGGGACTGGTTTAGTACAAAGCTGCTGAGATCTGATCCCTCTTGCACAACTGGCCTCTAGTGTATCGGCTTGATAAACGTATCCTACCTGTTCATGGTAATAACTGTAGGAACAGTATTAAATTTACTGACGATCGAGAGAGTACCTGTGTAGGACTCAAATTGTTCTAATCGAAAATTGAATTGGTTGTAGAGACTGACTGACTGGACTTTTTTTTTTCCTTCCCTTATAGCCAAGTCACCTCCAGAACCGCTGTTGCTGGCTGCATTATGATGAGGACGGACCAATGGGGAACCAGCCCAGTTTTTCCTCGGATGACCTTGCTGCCCTGCCTGCGGAGCTGGCTGTGTGGCGACGCACAGCGATCACAAAGCGCAGTGCTCAGTGCTCAGTGCTCAGTGCTCAGTGCTCAGTGCTCAGTGCTCAGTGCTCAGTGCTCAGTGCTCAGTGCTCAGTGCTCAGTGCTCAGTGTACACTGGTTCTTTTTTTTTTTTTTAATGCTTGTTGCAAACCTTGTGTTTGGTATTCTGCGCCAATAAATCTTCTCTTCGTTCATTGGTGGTTTTGCTTTATTTTTCCAGTCCGAAGGAAAGCACAGCATGATGTTTTGGGCAGCGGGACAGGAGAGAGGAGCAGCCCCTGGGTATCTGGTGCTGGTCACTAAAGAGTGTCCAGCACTAGTGTCCAGTAGTCTGCGGTCACTCTTTTCCCCCGGCGGGGCCAGCGATCGCGCACACACCTCCTTGCGGGGGAGTCATCAATAATTCAGTGTTTTTCTTCCCAGTCAACATGCTCTTCCTTCCAAAAATAAGTCGGTAAAAATACAAGTTGCTTCCAGGACAGGACGGGAGGGAGAGTACAACAGTATCCTCTCTCTGCGATACTCGAGGAGGACGATCCTTCCCGCTGTCACCCTGGTTCCCGCCAGTGCTGATCTCGGCGAGAGTTTAAATAATGGTAACAGCCATCAGCCACACGCAAAACAAGGAAGAGGTTCTAGGATCCAGTTTTAAAATGATGGAATCCTAATTTCGAACCGCTGGGGCGTTTTCTTTTTAAACCGAAGGCATGCTCCACTTCAGTACAGTTCCAGCTGTAGGAGCCTCTGGGGGGAAAGTGTTTCATGGCGCCAGACCGATACTACGGAACAAGGAAGTCTTACTGGAGTTCAGAGATACTCGACAGCGAGAGACACTGCAGTGGAGGTGAAAGATCACCCGCGTTACTCTTACACCTGGAGCTGCAGGGGTGTCTCGGCTGTTCTGCACCCCATTTTTGTAGAGGATTTTTAAATTGATTTGATTCCCCCCCCCCCATTATTTTGCTACTTATTTTCACCCAATTTTTGACCGATTGCAATTAACATTACTAATGTTACCCAACGAGCTGGCGAGACAGTATGTTAAGATGCATGAAGTGACACGCAGAAAAGTCTCAATATAGTCCTAACTTAAAATAGCTGAGTTTCCTGACGGGGGGGAAAGGTCTCTTTTGGCCTTTTCATAAATCGTGTCACATCTGTCCCATCGCAGGTTTTTGGCCATGAATCCAGTCCCAAGTGCTTGTGGTCTTTGACACTGTTTATTAATTAGAGCAGTGTGGAGCAGTGTTGCATTTGAACTAAAATCATTGACCAGTTCCGTGTTTTCAAAAGGCAGCTCCAGGGAGAAGTCATCATGCCATTTAGTAAAATTATTTAAATGGGGTCCCCTATAATTTTCTGGGTTCGTTAATAAGCTGATTAGGGCTTCTTGATAGGGTCGTCAGCAGACTGAATGAGATGTTTGCTCTTCCAGTCTCCGCAGCGAGGGACAAGACAGCTCTGCGGGGAGCCGGGGGCAGTATGGTGAATGTCAGATAACCAGTTCCCCAGTTTGAACTGCTGAGAGCTGTTTCTTGAGATGTCTAGGACCCATTTGATCGAGTTACTGTTTACATTGAAGTGGTTTTGTATTGAAAGCCGAGGGGAAAAAATCAACAAATAAGATCCTTAAAAAAAGTCTGTACTTGGTCAAGACGCTGACAGACCAGATTCACGGATGTGCGTGTTGCATCGTCCGCTCCCCTCCTTTCTCCGTGTGCGTCTGCAGGGGGTCAGTCAGGTCCTGTGTTCTCTGTGATGGGCTGCTTCACACTGCTCTCCCCAGACTTTTCACTGGGAGAGACAGCATCTGGCCTGGCAGCTGCAGGAACGGAGGGAGGGGATGAATTTGTAAATCTAAGGACATCTGAAAAAGCAAGCTTAAAATATCTCACCCGGATCACCACAAGATTGCCGAACTCTTCCACACACAGTATCTGGACTTCCATTTTTCCTTACATTCATTATCCCAGACCACCTGGGCACCTCCAACGTGTCCATTTTTATCATCTCTCTGGATAGGTGGAGATCAGCACTATTAGCTGAGGTGGCTGGGGGTTTTAGTTCCAAACTGAAATATAAAACCACATTCAAATCATGTGCCAGCTGTTGCCCATCCCTGCCCCATAGCACAGGTACAGCTGCCACAGATTGAATGCCCTGTCATGCCCTCTGGTATCCCCCCATACAGCCATGGCATTCTCCAGTGCGGATCCTTGGCTTCAGAACAAGGACAAACCACACGGAATGCAGATGGGTCACATGATCTACACCTTTATTGTTTTTACGCTCGATCTACGTGACTGTTCCCGAATCGGGTGCTCAGTTTCCGCGAGGCTTGGCTCTTCAGTTTCCCCGAGTCCAGTCTGGCTCCCCCCGGGGCTGAGCAAGACCCCGGCGCTGCTGACCGCGGGAGAGGCGGCAGAGCCTGCGGGCGCACAGGAGTGCCGGACTCTTCGCCTGCCGCCCGCTGTCCTCCCCGCCTGGAAGGGAAAATGAACCGTCTCTGCTCTCACTTAAAACACAGACACAACGCTGAAGACGGAACGTTAACAAACACGTGTCGTTTCTAAAACAAGACATAACCGGGTGTTTCCTTATATTTAAAAAACGATCTAGAAACATTTCTGGGGTGCGTGGTTACCAGACACAATATTACAAGTGTGAGTTAAATGAACTCGGCAATTTGTTTTCCCCAAAGCAGAAAACAGTTTTGCAACGGCCCTGGAGCCCTGCGAGAGGTTTTACTGAGAGACAGATGTGACCTTGAGCTCTCCTGTGATCCAGGGCAGGACCCCAAACCTATGAGTTAGCAGTTAAGCCCTCAAGATCTGTTTCACTGTTCTGTGCATGTCCAGCTGGCCTAGCTTTCTCCAAGCTCTCCTGAGTGGAGGTGTAACTCGTCTGTGCTACACTGGGGTTAATAACATGAAAGGGAACAGGGGTCTGGGTTAATTAGGCATCTGGGTTATTCGCCCACGTCCCTGTTTATACCTTATATTCTAACAAACTGTTACTGACCAATCATTAAAATGTTTATGTATTAACATTTTGCTCATCTTCAAGAACAAACGCCTGCTGCTGGTCTCATAAAAGGGCCTCTACCAGGGGGCCACTGACCTCAGTGGTCAGCTTGATCCTCTCGGGTTTGAGAGTCCAGCTGGCACAGCTAGCAGCAGCCATTCCGGCTGCGTGTTTTTCGCAGTCTGAGTGGTAAACAAAGGCATTGAAAAAGATCTCTGAGGTAAGGCCAAGGGTGACCGATGCCGCTCACTGCCGCCTTCGATGTAACTTGCATACATATACACAGAACTAATCACTGCAAGACACACGTGTGCTCCATTGCTGCATTCCCGCTTGCTGAGCGGCTGTTTTCAAAAACACCACGATACGCGGTTGGGCGTCCTGAAAGCAAACAAAGCGTTTGCGCATGCACTTCTGTCTCTTGTTCGCCCAATCAGAATTGGAGCCCGTGGCAACGTCATCCAAACAGATGGAACGAGTCACGGAGAGCCTTCTGGGAAATGTAGTAGAGTACCGCCTTTTCTAAACCGTTTTTCTCAATTAAACGTTAAAGTAACTTGAAAGTTAAATATTTATGTAAAGTACAGATCTCAGAACACTGTACTTAGTGTAATGTAGAGAAGTTTTTTCTATTTCATTACTTCGCAACCTCAGCATACTTGTGTTTACTACTCCTTATGAAGAGGTTACCAACATTAACTCAACATTTACTTATTTAAGGTTATCAAAATTGGAGTACACAAGAAAGATTTAGCACGCCTGACTAGCATGAACACTCAAATCCACTTTCTAAATTCAACACCAACCTGCAGCAGCCTCTGAACACTGGTTGGTCTTTGTGTGTGTCGTCATCATCATGCGACGGAACGTGCTGCAGAAGGTGGCTCGAGGTGCTCTTCGGTTGTTTTTAAACAGCGGCGTGGGGCGCTAACGGCAAATTCATGAAGTAAGATTTGATTTATTGATATTTTATAAGTACTTTTCAGATGATTGTTATACAGGTTTTTTATCTTGCTTTCCTGTCAAGTATCATTCAAGTTATAGAAATTATTAAAATGTTGACTAGATAAACGCTGCGTTTAATCGTGACCTGTCTTTACTGAACTCAAGTTACATTTTGATTATCTTTAATTGAGAAATCCAGAGTTTTTAGGCATACCAAAGATGACCTTTCGCTTGTAAATTATGGTATAGTGTCTTGGTCGATATCATGTAGAACTAAGCAGCCAGATATTTAAAAGTGATTCTTGTCACCTGCGCTGGAACCATAAGTATTTCCTACTCCAGTCATAGGTGGCTGTAGAGGAGCCGGGGACGAGGATCTGTATAAAAAAATATTTACATTCGCTCTGTACCTTGTTTTTGTGAACGGAACTGCAGTTACATAAAGTGAAAAGACGAGGTCTTTCCGTGACTTATAGGAATGTTTTCTTGTGAATGGGTTTATTGCTGCAGTAAGTTGTATGAGCCACGTACATTGACGTGAGCGGACGGAGACAGAACGCGAAGTGTCTAGTTGAACTCAAAAACACGTATCAGTTACTCGTATACGTGTAACAACACCCTTGGAGAATCTGCATTCACTGATGTTTATTGAGCAGGATCAAATCTTGGCTACAAAGTTAAAACTAGAGGTTAGTTTCACTCTGAACAGTTGAAAAAATAACATTATGGGTGTCACGCCTTCTTCAGGTCTGTCTCTGTCCAGTGTCTGTACTGTATTAACCCCTCTCTCTCAGTGCAGTGTTAATGTACTGTAGTGTCCAGTCAGTGTGTCTGGACTGTATTAACCCCTCTCTCTCAGTGCAGTGTTAATGTCCTGTA